CAAACCCCAGAGGCTCACTGCCTGAACCCTAAACCCTGAACCCTAAACCCTGAATCCTGAACCCTAAACCCTGAACCCTCAACCCTGAACCCTCAACCCTGGCACACCGTCCGCAAGCCAGGAGGCATTCTGTGGCTGTGGAAGAAAGGCACTCGGCCTAGCTTCATCATGTAAGAACCTACTTAGGATTTAAGGTTTAGGGTCATTTTTGGCATGCCCTTTTCCATCTGCACGAAACATCCAGAAGGTTTAGGGCTTAGGGCTTCGGGTTTAGGGCTTAGGGCTTAAGGTTCGGTTTAGGGTTTAGGGCTTAGGGTTAAGGATTTAGGGTTGAGGGCTAAGGGTGTGCGCTTGGGGTTTACGGCTTAGGGGACTTAGATATTAGGGGTTTTCTGAATTGGAATACTGTACTATGATTCGATGGTGTTTACCATACTCTAGGTATAAGGGACAAGAAGGAATAGCCTTATCCTTCTCAGGCCTCCGAGTTAATGAAGAAACGGAGACTCGCGTGTGTTAAGCAAGATCCAAAGCACTAATGATGCAGAATGCAATGAGCAAATGTAAGCAGTTGAAGCGGGAGTATATTTGCATTTCCAACAAGTCGGGAACCTGTTCTGGGAGTCTTTACAATAAAGATTACAAGATATTGAAATCTAAATTGCAGCCCGCTCTTTGTTCAAATCCCCATATGAGCCATAATCTAAATCCTAGTATCCCTCCTAATAACCTCTTTACGGAGTTTAGACCCTAAACCCTTATAAATCCTAATTCTTAAACCCTAAAAAATCCCCTATATAACCCCTTTTCAAGGAGTTTACACACCACAAGCCCTAAACCCCTACATCCAGAGCTTTAGCTGCGCCTCCACTTCAACGCCACAACCTGACGCTGGGCATCATGGAAAACGAGGCAAACCGGCGAGAGCTTCTCGCGCAGGCCTGACAAACCCCTCATAGTCAAGGTTTAGAGCTTAGGATTTAGAGTTTAGGGTTTAGGAGTGTGGGCGAGTACACTCTACTTGCACTATCAGTATTTAAGCGTTGCTAGGGCATGACATTGGTAATTGTTCAAGCTTCTACATTACTGCAACAGCATCCGCAACGAAACATCTTGGCCAGGAACCCTCAACTCCTTCTTTTTGCTGGTGCGTAAGGAGGAGGAGGAAGTGTATATGGGTTTTCCTTGGGTCCGACCCCCACCCATGAACAGCCTATAACAGGGGTCATATTAAGAAGGGCTCTGTGAAACTGTATGATCTTCTCCAACTGTTAATGGGTGGGGGCAGTACGCAAGGTATTCCAGGTGATTACCCGCAGGAAACTCTGGCGACTTTTACGACTTCAATGCTTACACTCTGCACCCTTCAAGGCTTCCTTTCAGAGAGGTCCAGGACAACGAGTAATGCCTTACACTTCCCAGGTGGGGGATTCCAAAAAACTAAGGGTCCTTTTTGGAGGTCTGCAGGATAATAATCCATTGGTGTATGTAAGAGGGCCCTAAACCCCAAACCCCTAAACAAATAATCTATTGGTGTACGGAAGAGGGGGCTCTGTTCCTGCAGCTCCCATGCGGTAGTTTCCCTACATGAGGGGACCCCGAAATAGACCCCAATACACTTTAGTCTGTATCATAAGAACCCTGTAAAAGCCCTGAACCCTGAACCCTATATAGCCTATATATAAATATTGGCTTTGCTTGCAGCTCGGTGCGAGGGGCCTTGGACGAGCGCCTCTGCAGCTTCAACCGAGACCAGCTGCAACATGCTGCGTTTGCCCTGGCCAAGAGGTTTAGGATTTCGGTTTCTTTTTTTTTGTGGAACCTTTTCTCCAAGGGTTGATCCTTACAGGGTTTCGGGTTTAGGGTTTAGGATTTAGGGTCTAAACTCCTTAGAGGGGTTATCTAGGGGATGACACTGGGAGTATTATAGGGATTCTCAAGGGGGATGCTAATAATCCATACCTGTGCTCAAATAGGGATCTACTGGGTCGGACAATGTTTCATTTTAATGGAATGGAAGAGAAAGCAGAACATAGGATGGCTGTTGATAGGCTGTGCCGATGTTCCCCAACATTGAGCATATCACGTTGGAAGGCTGCGAACCATCCCTGTCAGATCTTTAAACTAATTTGAGAGGCGAACCATAGCCAAGAAAAAGAAGCAGCGCGTGCTGCTCTGTCATGGCACCAAAGCTCGTCGAGATGACAAACGGTTGGCTGTTAATAGCAGATGACATGCATCAAACACAGCCTGGAATTTGGAATCTGGATGAAAGAAAGACAGAAAAATTGGTGTTCATGATCATAAGGTGGATGATGGTGAGGGATGACGATGAGGAGACGGAGGATGCAAGAGGGTGGAGACGTCATAAGATGGGACACGAAAAGAAAGTCACATCATATGGACAACCATGGAGCTTGGTGATAGACAAGGCTGGAGAGGATGAACACGTTGATGATGGTGATGATGGTGCTGTTGGGTGCTGGTGACGAAGACGATCGCAATGAGAAGACTTCGTGAAGGCATGAGTTGCTCGAAGAGGTAACGCCGTGTTCATGATGAGGTGCGGTGAGCGGACTACAAGCACGTTTACCTGGGTTGTTGTAAAGGAACTTAAATCAAGTTACCATAATGGGTATATGTAATAAGTAATATGGTTTCCCCAATANNAATTCCTTAACAGCAGCCCAGTTGCGCTGAGGCTAACGCTGTAAAGCTGATGCGGAGGCGATCGTGGCACGAAAAGGCCGCTAGCTTCTGGATGGAAAACATAGATACTTAACATGCGAATCTAGGTGGTGAATGGTGGGGGGGGAGGGAGGGGGGGTGATAGAGGAAGGGACAGTCATGACTCGTTACGATCAATAGCAACAACAGTGCCGACGGGCGTGATTTTGGTCACGATTGGCGACTTGCTGCCGATCGTTGTGACGATGATGATGGCAATGGCAACGACGAGCGTCATAGATGGTAGGTGTGCGCTGTTGGTCATGACTGAGCGACGAAAGATGTCAGTGTGGACCATTGTGACAGATGGTGATAGACACCGTTGGCGGTGATGCGAATAATGCAGGATTCCACGAAAAGCAATGATACTGAACTCAAGGCTAGCTCCAATATTTTCGTGATTGGTTAACTACCCCATGGTTCTGCTTTTGGGACGGCAGATGTTCAGGAAGGTTCCCGAGCTCCTTGAGAGACCGTGCCTCGTCCCCGTTTTGGGGGCCAGCAGGATGCGCGTTCTTGTCCTGGCCGCCCGACAGGTTGTGCCCAAGTATTTGCAGCACAGAGTCGTAAGTACTGGCTGCGTCAGTGATATTATCTCCCTCCTAGAGGTACCTGTATAAGAGGTACTCTTTGCACCTNNGAGTTCTAGTCCCCCTTAAGTATATGGAGTGTATATGGGGATTTGAGATCTGAGAAAAATATTGGGCAATTCCATATTCTAAGTAAGCACATACATAAAGTATAAAGGGGACTAGACTTCTAGGTCACATGAAACCCTGACCCCTCAACCCTAAACTACTACTACTATCAGTTTTACTACTATTTCTTCCTACAACTAGTATCACTACGGTTCTTGCGACCATGATCATTACTACGATGATTACTACCCTAAACCCTAAACCCTAAACCCTAAACCCTGTTCCAGGGCTTAGGTCGTTCATCAACCTGAGCCAGAACCGCTTACCTCTGGGCAGGCCTGGACACGAAGAGCCTGGCTACAAGGACATGTCCCAAGATATGGAGGTTTCCCAAAATTTGGGTGTATTTTTTGGGGTCTCCATATTAACGATTACAGTCCTAAGACCTGTAGCGTGGCACAGAAAGGGGAGGATCTTCTCTCCAATTCTGCTGGAATTCGTCTGGAAGTTGTCTAGGAACGTGCCATGCGCAACGAGCACGCTCTTCCTCCGGTGGCGGCAGCAGTTGCAGCACCACGTCGAAAGCTGATGTGTCCTAAATTGCATCTCACCAGCACAAGATAGCACAAGTAGATGCAGGCCAACGCCCAAACCGTTCCTTCACAGTATACCCCCTAAACCCTAAACGGTAAACCCTGAACTGCTTATGCTCTGTCTCAAGGGCAGTTCGTGCAGCCAATGAGCCAGCTCGAATACGCCGTTCCAAGTTGACTCCAGGCCTCAGCTGAGGGATGTGTTCGTGACATTAGGCCGGGGGACTGCTAAACCAAGGCGCCAGGCATGGCATCAGGCATGGAACAACAACACGAAAGCAGCTTCTTCGTGAGCAGGCGGGACATCATTGCAACAGGGTCCATCTCCCTCAGTGTTTGCCATCACAAAATCTGAAGGCAACCAGTCGCGTGTAAATCATATTTCCCTTTCAACCCTGTACGCGTTGCTGTACGATGTTTGACGCGAAGTAGCAAGCCACCCCTGCAAACAAAAAAAAAATAGCAATGATCATACGAACAGTTATAAAAAAGAATAAAAGGAACAATTATTATTAATGAAAGTAGTACTAGTACTAATAATACAGATAATTACCGAAGAAATAATATGCATCTGCAGGGAGCACCCTTTTGCAATCCTTGTGAGCCATCGGCAAAGTGCTGAGCAATGCCGTGGCTTCAGAAGCCATCGAATCTTTTAAGCCTCTGTCATGACCACATGGGTAGTTCCCAAAATTAGGGTCCCATCTGGGTGCCCCTAAATATCAGGTGCTGTAATATAATCTACAACCAAAAGGGCCCATAATGTTGAGAATAACCCACATGCTGCTCTCATCAAAATCTGGTCATGTCTGCTGTGTTCATTGACCAATGCGAGCGCAACTCCCAGTGCTGCTAGCTCTCCATTACTTCATTCGCTTGGTGCAAGCTTCACGAGGAAAGCAGACATGGATTCGTCGTTCGGGATTCAAAACTTCCACAGTCCTATTGTCAGGCAACCCGTCAGGTGACCCGATCAGGGAATCACTGTCAAAAGTCGTTCAAGAGTTCAAGACTTTGGTATTGAAGTATTCAAATTCAAATCTCACTTGCAGGCACACAGCGGAGCAATGTTGCCGTACCTGGTGCCATCGCAGTTGATGTTGCTAGCAGGCGTTCCAGGCGTGAACGGCGCACAATCATCATTGTCACGGGCACAAGAGAAGGGAGCGCCTGCATAATTCCGTGGCGGATGGAAGCTTTTGCAAGTGTAGCCAGTCTCCTTGAAAGCAGCTGCTACTTTCTCATTTGTTGTCAGCTCCGCCATTTTTTTCTTGTCGCAAGTGCTGAAACCGTTGCTTTTGCAAACTGAATTGCAAGCTTGGCCCATCTTTGCTTTGAACCAGTTTCCAACAATGACCGCCTGCTCGGTCACCTCTTCTGCAGCTTTGCAGGCGCACAAGGGAGCATGGTGACCGTAACTGTTGGCATTGCAGTTGATGCTGCTGGCAGGCGTGCCAGCCGTCCATGGTGCACAATCGTCATTGGGAGTGGCCTTAGAAAAGGGAGTTCCGGCATAATTGCGGGCCCCGTGGAAACTTCTGCAGGTGTAGCCAGCCATCTTGAATGCAGCCGCCACTTTCTCATTTGTTGTCAGCTCCGCCATTTTCTCCTGTGTTCGTAGGGCAACTGCACAAGCACTCAGGTCAAGAGTAGTTAGAGGGGGCTCAATAAGTTGACTACAACTTCCCAAATCATCCACTTATTTTCCATCATTCTCTATATAGCCCAGTATACTTTGGTAGTTTCCATGTTCTATTATTCCCTATAGAGCCCTAACATACTATAGTAGTTTCCATTTTCCTTTTCATTATCCCAATATACTTTGGTAGTTTCCATGTTTCCATTATTCCCTATACAGCCCTAACATACTATAGTAGTCTCCATTTTCCTTTTCATTATCCCAATATACTTTGGTAGTTTCCATGTTTCCATTATTCCCTATACCAGGCAATCCCAAAGCTTTCTCTCGACCTGCCTTGTCGCAGCCATCTGGAAAGCCGTTGTCCGCGCACACGCTGTTGCACACCTGGCCATTGGCACCTCCCAGAACTGCTGCGAATGCCAGGTGGCCACTATGGTGTTGCAGGACTTATGGAAATAACTGAAGGTTTAGGGCTTATATGAGCCAGAGTCTGAACTCCTAGTATCCCCCGTAATAGCCCCCTATAGTATTCCCCTGTATAATCCCCTCTGCACCCACCCCGCTTTAGGGAGATTAGACCCTAAACTCCATATATATATATATACATGTCATATATATACACACATACATATATATACATATTTGTTTTTCATCTCCACACCGGCCTTTGAACCATGTCATCTCTACCTCCTGCTTCTCATCACACTTGACTCCAATTGCCATGCAAGACAAACTCGACGAGGACACGCCACACCTTGCCGCAGCGATTGTATACTATAATGCGTTATAACATACTATACGATACTATACTATACTATAGTATACTATAATATACTATAGTATAGTATAATCAGCCATCTCAAGTTCTATGCCAGATACTTGTCGTTTAGCGGGCTAAATGTGGCAAAAAGCTCTGCTATTCCTGGAAACTTAAGAGACCGAACTCTTCCGGCAAGGAGCTGAATCTTGTAAAACAGGCCCCAATCCGTGTAGTGCTTGGCGCCTGAGTGTTGTGAGAGATCCAAGCAGCGTCAGGGAAGAAACATTGGCCCAACCCTAGCCCATTGAAGGCTCAGGCGGCTAAGTCATCAGGTATATCAGTCATTACTACTATTCCTGTTATTACTATTATTGCTCTTATTGCTAGTATTCATATTAATACTCTTGTAGTGCTCATGATTTGGGGTTGGAAAGCCCTGGGCCCCTCCACCAATGCAGCGCCCAGCGACAATCTTCGATCGACAGGCTGTGGCAATCAGCATGCCAGGTGCCATTGAGAACCTGAACAGACAAGAACAGAGTTGTAAGAAATATGTGCAATGGCAACGTCGGAAACCAGGCCCCCCTTAAAGGAATCCCACCTTGTCAGTTTTTGAGTCTTTTGAACCTGAGACCAAGGAGTCGGGTAAGAGATCCCTTTTTCCTGGAGCTGCTCATGCGGGATCTTCACTACACGGGTCCGTGACTTCACAAAGCTACGGAGTCCCTGGTGCCACTGCGCTTCACATCCAGTTGAGCTATAGTCTAAGCTCCTAGTATCCCCCTTAATAACCCTATGGTAGTCCTCTATATAATCCCCTATATAACCCCCCATTAAGGAGTTTAGACTATAGCTCAGTTGAAGATGTGACAAAGTGAGCGCATCAGCTCAAGATGCAAGGCAAGCGTGCCCTCCAGCGAGGGACCCTGTGGATCATGGAAAAGAAAATGGAAGCTACTGTATTATTATGGGGATTACATAGGGTTTATATAGGGGATAATGGAAAATGGAAGCTACTCCCAAACTTGACACGCCCTCAGCTCCCTGCACCACGATCCCGGGAAACCGTTGATCTTCGTACCCCCCAACGAAATATTCTTCCGAGGCGCAGCAGCACAGGCTGGCAGCACGTCAGGTTGAGTGACAGGTTCTTCCCGCTTCCTGAGGAAGTCCAGACCTTCTGACGGAGTTTTGAAAGAATCCGGGACCGTTGGCATCACCCACAGACGCCTACAAGTCTTCGAGGAAGTGCAACAGATTGAATGCCCACCGCCCAACAACAGAAATGCTCAAATACCCGATTGAGAACCATCACTCAACGGACGCCTTTCCCGAATCCTGCCACACTGCATTGAGTCCGAAGTCTACAGCTGGTTATATTGGCATAATGGAAAAGAAAATGGAAACTCCTGTATGATAATAGGGTAACCCTAACCCCCCTAAACCCTAAACCCTGAACCCTAAACCCTAATCCCTGAACCCAAAACCCAAAA